CCCCCAAGGAAAAATTTCTGGATCCGCCCCTGGTCTCTTTTAGCTTAGCATTACCACGACTTAGATTAAAGGATAAATACCCTACCATTTTCCGTTATAAAAGAACCTTTTGCATTGCTGTAAAAGGTTAGCAGACCAGTATGCCTAATATATCATAAGAAATTATTTTTTTATATTTTATGCTTAATTTTTTTACACTTAATGATTTATATCGGAATGAAAATGTAGCCCCATTTAAAAAAAATAGAAATGGTGCAATTAAATGTTAAAGTGGTATCTAATGTTAAAAGATATTTCAATCAGCGTAATAACGTTATTGAGCATTGAATTACATATCAATCAACAAACTACATATTATGCACCAAAATTACGTTAAATGTAAATTTACAACCAATTTAAAAAGAATTTTAAAGCGCATTGGTATCATGAATCAAACTGACACAAATAATATAAACTTTCTTATTTTGTTCAATTTTTATTTATTTATACTCTTATGAACAGAAAAAAAAAAGTCGAAGGATGATCGTTTTCAAAGCGCAGCAGTTAGTTAAAAGCACACGACTCTACCAGGGCTGCCAACTTTCAACTCTTTTTGTAAAAATGTATTCTAGTGGTAGCTATGTTTATGTTTTAATGTAATATTTTTAATTCATTTAAGCTAATTTTCCACACCACTACATACAAATGATTTAAAAGTTCATATACAACACATCTTTAAGCAGCGATGCCAACTTGCTCTGGACAGAAAATAAATTTTTTCGAGTGGTAGTTTATTAATATGTGAATCTTGGTTTAAATTCAATTTATTAGGTTTTCATCCACCACTATTTCTAAATAATTCAAAGACTTATATAATTCGCCACTTTTTTTCATTCAGTAAAGTTCTGCGACCCCGATAAAATAAGTAAATCACTTTAGTCAAATGTTTGCAAATTTTAGTATGTAGTTGTTTACCGTTTCTTAAATTATTATGGCGCGTCCGGAGCAGTTGGCATCGCTGCACTTTGTTCCAGATCTGTCGTGGTGAGAATTTAAAAATGTTAGTAAAATTACCAAAAGTTTTGGTTTTGAAACATCTATCATTCTATAGAACATTTTGCAAAAAGCGTAGTAGTTGGCAGTCATGCCCTACTGGAATAGTCACTAAATTGATGCCATCACCACGTTTCACTTTTCGTGGAATATGAAGTTCCTAAAGTATAGAGGAGCTACAACTTCTATATTCCTAATACAGAATTCTACTTTTGATTTCGATGAGAAAAAAAAATATTTTAGAACGTAAGGCAAAGGAGTCCCTTTTTTTAAAGAGGAGTAGTTTGTTGGAGGCCTTCTATCTGAATCGACAGCGACTTTATGTCCTCGGCACTTTTCACTTTTCGTGGGGTTCTGGGTTCTGACATCACGGAACCGCTCCTACTTCTATAAGGACTACCCACGAAAACAGAATTCTGTCTAGAGCGCATCCTGTTTGTGTGATAAGGCGTAGATGTAGCACCGAATTCTAAGTTGAATCGTTCTAGCGGTGCCAAGACATCGTTGAGCGGCTGACGACTTGGTTTTGCGATAACACTCTGAGCATGGTATTGCGGCTGATAAGATTCCAACATACGAATCTTTCCCCATTTCTTGAAGAAAAGCACCATGACGAAAACCCAAACAGAAAGGACAAGCACCACTATGACGACCTCTTCCTCTCGTACTCTAAATGGAGTGGTAACCTCATCATCCAAGATTGTCTTCTGACTCCAGTTATCTTTTTCTATAAATAAACAAAAAAAATTTTTTAGACTGGATGTAAATCTTGTTACGGAATTTTGATAGCAATATTATACTCTCCAACAACTACGGGATTTCACAGTTTCAGAAATTCTTTTATCTAATGGTATATGGAAAAACTGATCACCACTTGGTGATTAAGTATAACAAGTAGCTTTCAACAAATTGTCTGTCAGTCCATCACCTCCTACATTTGAAAGCTTTCACACGGTTTTTTATAAGTAGTCTGTGCAGACTATTTAAAAAGTGAACCAGTTATGAGCATGAACCCAAATTATATATTAAAAGTAATTGAGAGAAATTTATCATAGATATTTGAGAATTGAATCTGTACTGGTTGACAAGTAGATAAGACAAACCAATCAAATTCGTAAATTAAATAAATTTTTAGACATATATTTGCTATCACTTTTTAATATATTTTATATTGAATAGCTCTTTGGTACACTTGTGTACTTACACAGTGATCTGATCGGACTACAAAAAAAAAAAAAAAAAAAAAAAAAAAAAAAAAAAAAAAAAAAAAAAAAAAAAAAAANAAAAAAAAAAAAAAAAAAAAAAAAAAAAAAAAAAAGTGGGGAGGCTAGTCGCCAATGAATCGTGGCTTTTCCGTCGAAAATGCACCCCATATGTTGTTTGTCATTATTTTTCATGGCAAACGGGGCTGCCAACTTTAAACGCTTTTTGTAAAAGTTTATTTTAACACGTTCACGCCGGGGTGGCCCACCGATGGGTCACCCTAGATTGTCTCATCTTGGCAGCGCATCG